GACAATGAATGGAACCCAGAACAATGGCTTCCCCATCCATCACTCCACTGGAGAGGAAGAAAAAAAACCTTCGCAGATGGATTTATTGTTAAATGATTGTGGCACCATCAAGGAGTTTAAAAAAAAGGCCCCATTTAAAATTTTATTTCAAGCATATAATTAATTGATTTTACGCCCCCCCCCCCTCCTCCCTCCTCCCTGCGCTCCTGTAAAGACTTGTCACATTATATGAATCCACACCTGCCGTTAGCAGACTTTAGCACTTTGGCCTCAGATCCCACTCTGAACCCAAATCAAAGAACACAGCTGCTCCGGTTCAAAGATTAAAAAAAAAAAAAAGTCGGATCATAATCCCATATACCCAGGGGCACCACCAGTAATTTTGGGCCCCATAATGAAAAAATCAATCAATCAAAGTTTTATTAGGATTATGACAGCTCAGGTTATTGTTTCAGGTTAGGCTCTTTGTTGGTAAAACTAATCCTAAATATAATAATAATAATAATAATAATAATAAAGGGAATAATCTTGTAAAAGTTTGGAAGTCGGACGTAAATGACACAGAGATGCATATTTATTGTAGAAAACGTTAAACCTTGATTAGGATTTAAAACAATAAGAAATGGTTTCCCAGGGAGGCTGATGAAACATCAAGAAGTTTCATCTATAGAAAGATAATTTTAAATTAGCTTTTTTCATTTCTTCATCCCTTTTTGAGGATGAAATGAAAAATAGCTCCAATTCTAATCATCCCCCCCCCAAAAAGAGCAATCAATTTAGGTATTTTTAAGAGGCACTACATGTTTGTATTACAGTGCATTAGCAGAGCCGTCGCTGGAGACGTTTCTATAAAAATATCAGAAGATTTTACACCTGTGATGGATTATTACGGTTACCGTAGATAAACAATAGAAGAGCAGTACATTTCCACCAAAAAACACGAAAAGTTTTAGATTAATCTAATATATATTCTAGAAAAAGCAAATAAGTTTTTGAGCTTCAAAAGTAAAAAAAAAATTATTTTTGAAGAAAATTTCCAAAAGGCAAAAATATTTTGACCTCACAAATACAGAAAATGTTCATATTTGTTCTTCACAATTTCTGAGTTTTTTGATGGAATTTCCCTCTTTTTTCTACAGTGGTCCTAAGACCTGGAACGAAACAGCCTGGAAAAGTATTTCTTTTTTTATCCGATTAAAAAAAATTATAATGATTACGTGAAACCGCACTATGAACTAAATTTGAATTTAAAATTAAACTTTGTCTTTAAGTGAAAACTAGAACTGCAAATCGTCATGAGCCTGAGATTTTTATTCAGATTGTTTTGCAAGACCATTTGACTATTTTCTGGTCAAACTCTGCAGAGTGACATAATTTGCAGAAGCATTAAGCTAAATAATAACCGCATCGAGGAATAACAAGTAATTAACAAACAGGCTAAATGAGTTTTAGAGTGCTTCGTTCATGAGAACACAAGGCTGCAGCGGCGAGGACTCGGTAAAACAGAACGGCTGTCATCAGGTGTTCAGACCTGTGTGTGTGTGTGTGTGTGTGTGTGTGATGTGAAGTGGCAGCTTGCCAATAAGCACTCTGCTCCTGCTGCGCTGCAGAATAGAGGTTCTGCATTAGTGACTTTAATGGAAAACTCTTTTCATTCACGGTGAGATAAATAATAATCATCGGAGAGCTTTGCTCAGAGCCTCACCTTTAACGGAGCAGAATTACAGAGAGATCTGGCTCAGATGAGGGACGGCGGAGACGAACACGAGGAGCTGAATCTAATCTGAAAGCAGTTAAGCCAACAGAACTTCAGGGATGAGAGACGGAGAAAAACGCTTCAGGGTCACACAAGGAAAACTGGCTGGAACTTTTTTTCCCCAGCGTTAAGAACAATTTACAACGCAACACAACATAAATATTAGATCGGGGAAGTTTTTAAAGGGGCAGCGTTATTGTTTTGTGGTAACACAGTGGCATTTTATAGCACAATCAAGTAACTGCGTTACGTTCAGTTGTCATAAAAATGCTGTTTATATCAAATATGACTTTGAATTTGACATTGTAATTTAGCACCTTGAAATTGGGTCTCTGCCTCTTTAAGAAGCTCCTGCTCTTTCTGAAACTCCTCCTTCATGGCTCCTCTATTAACCCTTTAACAACGTTTTTACCAGCATTTCACTGAGAAGTAGCTCCTGTTTGCTAATTGCTGCTGGCTAGTCTGAAGGAGCTGAGTGAGGAAGGGCTGCTCCGTGAGGCGGAAGCTTGGAAACTGCAGCTCTAAGTTTGAGCCGCACCTCAAAGGCGGTAGATAGTATGACCTCATGCTAACAGCTGGCTGAAGGTCCAATAAATATATTTTTATAATATTTTGCTCAACTTGATATTAACTAGAGGAACAGAGAATCACAATTCCTAATGCTGGCAATTCTGAATTGATTCAAAATGTTCAAAAATCAATTTGAAAATGCATTTATTGTACGTCTTTGCTGCTCTTATTTGCAACTATATTGCTTATGGCATTACGCATCAACTTGATTTTTTAAAATCCTTTGATATTTTTTTTTATATTATATTTTACATAAAAGCCAGACAGCCAAGCTAACCTAATACTTATCATTTAAGTGTCATAATTTTATGCACAAACCGATTTTTATTTAAATAACAAACCGGTGGAATTTAATACAAAAATGTTTTAAATAAATGTTCTATCGTTTAAAGAGCATCTCTAGACTGTTTTAATAGAAAAATGGTTTCTGAATGAAAAATCGAGACAGCCGGAGGCGAATTTCTTTCCGGTTTCTAACAGAATAATCTGAACGTCTGAGTTGAACCTGACAGGAACGGAAAAACAAGATTATGACACTTATTAAGGAAACACTGATTTCTGGATCATGTTTAATGGAACACAACCAGTAATTAGAAATCCCGTCGCTCGCCAGCCTGTCATCATGGTGTCACAAAGACGACCATCAACAGGATTCACATGATCCAGACTGACTCACGTGATCACTTTAGTAGATTCATGTTTGTGTCAAAAACATCCTGTTGATGTCGCCTGGAGAAAGAAATGGCTTTCTCTTCCTCTTTCACTAACCGACATTCATCACTTCCTCTTTTCTCCTTTAAATCCTGTTTTCCTCTATGGCAGCGTGATGTGGCCGTTGCAGACAGAAAAAAAAGAGGCTTGTGGCTCCTCTAAAACAAAAGAAAAACCTGAAATTTTGAGAACAAGCTCAGAAATGTTCTAGAAAAAAAAACGTGTTAATTTCTGAGTTTGAAAGCCTAAAATTTGCTGGGAAAAAAATTGAGATTAATCTCAGCAAATTTCTAGGAAAAATAAGCTTCTCAGTTTCAAAAGTCAAACATTTTCCAAGCTTTAAAAGTAGAAGATTTCGAAACTCGGAAATCTTTGACTAAGACTAATCTCAATGTTTTCTTTAAGCAAAATTTCGGCTTTTCAAAATCAGATTTTTCTAGAAAATTTCTGAGTTTTTTTTTTCAAGCACATTTTCAATTTGTCTTGTTTCTTTTTTTCTAGAAAATTTGAGATTATTCTAAAAATTTCAGTTTTTTGGCCAGTTACCTACTTTTTTCTCTTTCTACAATGGCCGTCTACTTAAGAGTCGGATTTAGTCGAACTGACCCAACAATCTGAACAGTCGCACAGTTAATGACTCCACAGTAGGCAACCTACTGAGGGGAAGTGTTACTGTGTAAAACAAAACAAAAAAAAAAAGAGATCAGGCCTCACAGTGACCCGATAAATAGCTCAGAACAGCGTTTCATTTATCGTTTTTTTTTTTTCACTCATTTTCTCCACATTTTTTAAAACTTATTTGCTTGAAGACTCGCAGCAGACCCTGAACGCACCGCGGGGCCCGCTAATGAGGCTTTGTGCCTTTGTACAGCTGATTACTGTAGTCCATATCAGGCTTCGGCCAAGTTGAAAGAACGACGACTAAATCACAATGGTTCGTTTAATACAAAGTCATGTCCATAATCATGTTTAAACCTGAAGGGGCCGGAATAGAAGTTAGGTTTTACGTTTTCTTGCCATTTCTACACATGAAACCGCTTTCTTCCTTGTTTTTTTACACAGTTGGTTGATGGGCAAATTTCTTATCCAGTTTGGTTTGAGAAGAGAGCAGAATAAGTTTCATTTTACTGTACAAAATTGTCAAACTCTTCCACAGGATTTAACATGATAGCAATAACCTCATTGGGTTGTCTTTATGACTTTAGTTCACAACAAACATGAACATTTTCTAGAAAACATTAACACTTGACCTGCTAACTGGTTAGCATGAGCTAGCGAGGCTAGCTAAGCTCCGCATTCACACTGGAATCAAACAGCTGGTCATGAAGTCAACATTGACGGACGTTGTTCTGCCTAAAACAACAAAAAATCCACTTTTGACTTTAATATTGTTGAGTAACGCAGGCCGAATTATTATTTTCAACCTACCCGTATTCAGGTAGATTAGGGTCTTCAAACCCAGTAGCTGCGTTTCTATTACAAATGTGCGCAAAACTGTCAATATTATGCTAACATCGACAAATAATTTCGCAATCGGTTGCTTCTATTTAATAAGAAACGCAATTAAAATCACTTACGTTTTTTCACGTGATAAGTTATTTTAAACCATCTTTTGGAAAAAGAAAAAAAAAAGTCTCGGGCCATTACTTTAGGAAGTGACTATATGAGATCAGATAGTCCTGACAAAACTTTAAGACCTGTAAATGAGTAATGTAAATAAGACCAACACCATGTAATTATTAGAATTCTTCTCAATATTCTAGTTTACCACAAAGCACCCGATTGTGATTCAAATCTACATGTGTCCAAGTCCACAGCTCAAACTTCAGCAGAACAAATCTCATTAAAAACAATACTTTAGCACCCAGAGGGGCTCGTGGTTGAGGGTGACCGCAAATCCAGCCCACATCATTAGTCACCACCACCATGCTCGACAGTTGAAAAACGAGAAAAACTGCAGATGTAAATAAATTTTGTTTCTTTGTTTATTGACGCATAAAACATCCTTCAAACAATAAACCCATTTCAAGGGAAGGTCTCTGTACAACGCTTACTAAGCTGTTTATTTATATAGAAAACATAAGGGGGGCCGGGCTTAAAAATCACAGGGCTCCCCTCAAATTTAATGGCAGGTACTCTAGAGAAAAATTACAGCATTCCATCAACAAATATTTTCAAGCAATAAATATGAATTTATAAATAGTGTAAATTTACATCCAAATAAAAAAAAAAAAAGAAAAAGGAAAAAAGAAATTAAAGTTCACTCTAGTTTGTGTGCAACCCTTTTTTTCCTGTGACTTGGCTGGTTGTAAATCAGATTCTCTTCCTCCACGTTAAGAAAGTCAAGAAGTATCGAGGGTGAGTAGGAGAGCAGAAACAAAACGTGTCACATTTCACATTACATGTATGTTGGTTTTCCTGACCGAGGAGGTGTCTGATGTAGTAAAAGGCTAACCACACACACACACACACACACACACACACACACACACACAGAGCTCTGGTGTCAGCCCGCAACAGAATAAAAAACAAACAAAAAAAAACAGTAAAAACAAACAAACAAAAAAAAACAATCAGATCAGTAGTCTCTGGTGACCAGGTTGATGGTTCGAACAGAATATGTACAAAACTTTATGCTATTATTGTTATTTTCATTTGATGAGTTGTGGCGAAGTCCAGATGGGCCAAGCAGTAGAACAGTCTGGTCGTGACGATGGGAGGAGCTGCCGTCCCCCAACCCAATCCCTCCAGTCCACCAGGGGGAGGCACACCGCTCGGGGCAGGTTGCATAGACACACAGCTTTCACACAGCTGCCTTATGGGATAGCTACAGGACGCAGTCGGAGGGACTGCCGCCTTTCTTCCTGAATATCAGAAAAAGAAAAAAAAAGAAAGGGGGAAGAAGGAAGGGAAGGGGGGTTCTGAGAGTTTCCACTGAGGTCCATTATGGTTCTGTAATGTTCTCAGAAGAAGAAGATGATGATGACTCCATCAAGAGGAGGAAGGCAGAGGGCTGGCCTGTGAAGAGCAAATGATACGATCAGTTTGGATCGAACCGGTTTGACCCGACAGAGGTCAGAGTTCATGCTCAAATAAACAGACCGAGTTACAAAACTAGGGCTGTAAAACAATTTAACATTTTAATTTGATTAATCGGTGGGTTGCTGTGAAATAATGAACATGGGAAATCATTTCTCATGACTGATTCTTTTGTATTTTTCATTGTTTCTGTATTTGTTCACAGCAGTTTAGTGTTGCTTTAGTCGTGAATATGCATGTAAAACGAGGCTTTGCGGCACTGACACATGACGCTGAAAATTTACAGAAACGCATGTCATTTATGGTTACATTTCTTTTAATGCAGTGTTAATATTGACAGCTCCACAGTGGAGCTGGCTGCTCACCAGTGTGAACTGGTCGTAAACCTGCATCAGGTCCTCGATCTTGTACTGCTCCAGAACCACGAAGCTGTCCAGGTCAGCGCTGGCCCGCCTGGCGCAGTCCTGGCACTGAACCACGTATGTCTTCCTGCTGTTGCTCTCGCTGCTCACAAACAGCAGGTCGAACACCTCCACCTGGTACGGGAGCAGAGGGGAGAGCAGAACCGTTAAAGCGCCCACTCCCATCCTGAACCTCAGCAGAGACCCGCCCGCTTACTTCACAGATGCTGCAGTAGTGGGCCGGCTCACTGTGGGTCCGGCCGTGCCACACCAGCTCCTTCCCTGCAGCCTGCAGCATCTCCCTCTGCATCTGAACTTGCTTCAGCGTCCGCAGCAGGCAGTACCTAACACACACACACACACACACACACACACACACACACACACACACACACAGTAGCCCACAAAGGGTTCAGGGTCAACCCCAACAAAGCGGCTGAGCTGAGCTAAACTAACACAGTCGGGCCTCACTTGATCATCTCGAAGAGCTTGTGGTCCGACACTTTGATGTTCCTCGCCATGTTCCAGGAGAGGTGGATCATGGGAACGATGGACTTGACGCTCTGCAGCTTGTTCCACTCGTAGCGCTCCACTGCCAGCTTGTACTGATGGGCTGGAGACAGAATACAGGGCAGAAAAAACTCAATGTGTGGCCCTTCAGGGAGAGGAGATCCCCTCGGCGCTTCTCCACAGGACAGAAAGCTTCTGCACACCTCTGGGAAAATGAGTTTTTTCCCCTCCACACTTTTCCTGCAGGAAAATTCAAGCCCTTTTCCAGGGTTTCTGCAGGTTTCAGCAAATAAAATGTAAGACTTTTTAAGACCTACTTAATGCCTCCCATAATGAAATTTAAGACTGGAGAAACCAAATATAGGGGACGGCTGAGGGATTTTGCTGTATTAGAATCAAGAGTGGCAAAACACAAAAACTTCTGGGATGCGTTTGTAACAGCCGTAGCATCAATGTTACAGTCTGAATGTACCTACTGCCATATGGGGCTAGGTGCATTCAGAAATTAGCCAGTGGCAAAGACTGACATCATCCAGTCAGGTGGATGATGACCCTCTATTCACTATAAGGGTGCATTCACACCAGCCCTGTTTAGTCCACTTCAATCGAACTCCAGTTCCTTTGGGGAGTTGGGGATGCATAATCAGTCAAAAGAAGAAAACTCTTTTGCCCGATTCAGTTTGGCCTAGGAAACAGTTTGGTTGAAGTGAAAAATGTTCCCGTTAACATGCCAACGTGAAAATCGATTTGTTTGGCACAATGCAGCTGAAAACGCCAACAAATGCTGCAAATTTGGCCTCCAATCAAACAGAGTCTACCGGACTATCCGGTGTGTAAACACCTTTAGCGTCCTCTCTGACCCACCTGTGAGGGGTCCCACGTTCCAGGCGATGTTGTTGCACCAGCCGATGGCCTGGACCCAGTGAACGGTGCCGGTGTTGAGCCACACCAGGTCCCCGGGCCTCTGGATGAAGCGGTACACTGGAACGTTGTTCTCGTACAGGTCCTCCAGGTTGGGCCACCAGGAGCCCATCAAGAAGTTGATGTTGTTCCTGTCAGAAACCACACAATCAGCCGCCACGACCCACTTTGGGCTCAATCAGATCCGTTTCAAAGTTGACGTACTTTTCACAGAAGTCATTGATGACGCCCCAGTAGGACTCGGGCACAGCGAACCACTCACAGTCGCCAGGACCAATGTTGATGTTGACCGAGCAGAAGTTGTTGTTCTCTTGGTGACCTGTGTGACAAACTAGGATTACTAAAGGCTTCGGGAGGACAACCAAAGACTCGGGCCTCGGGCGTGCCCTGGTTCTACCTGGAGTCCGGCTCCCTGGCACCTTCATGTACAGCTGGACGGTGTTCATGCCCAGGATGGTGTGGCCCACATGGCTCAGCAGGTTTCCGGCTGACACCACCCTGGCGAAGGCCGGCAGCTTGGTCAGCTCCTGCAGCTGCTGCTTCCACCTGCAACCAGCCCACTGTTAGACACAGGCTGCTGAGAGACCAAAGAGTGATGAGAAGGGTTTGCTCACTTTTTGTCGTCAGAGAGGTCGATGTTGGTGCCAAACTTTATGTGCTTTAGAGGGCCTTTCCTTCGCCGGATCCCACTAGAGAACAATGGAACGGTGTCATTTCCACCAGCGGGACAAAATACTGAACAGAGAACCTCAACTCAACTTGATTGGCCATTTTCCTAATTAGTACCACAGTGAAACCAGACAGAGGTCAAGCACCACTCTTCAGTGTGGATGTTACCGAGTGAGAAAGGATTAGCCATGATTCACAAACCGTCAGGCAATGCTCTCATTAGCCAGAAGCTATTGCTGTTTGGGGAAGAACAGCATGGAAAAGTTTGGGACCCCCTGGTTTAGACCAGGTTATAAGTCAGTTTCTGCCCCGACATGCTGTATTATAACTAGTCTGTCTTTCTCAGTGTTCTCTATACGTCCAACATTATGTACATTTTGTAAATGTGATCCGACTCAGTTGCACATCCCTTGGATCGTAAATCATATATTCTCATTTCTAATAGCTGCACAGTATTTTCTGTTATAGTCTTATACAGTACATTATTACCATAGTTAATATTGATTTCTATATATTGTTAACACTAAGAACTTTTTATATCCGTTACGCCTGAACTTCCCCTTTATGGAACAACAGAGGCCGTTTCTATTGTTCTAACATATTCTATTGTAATGCGTCTGTTACAGCTCAGGAAGACTGTAATTTTTTTTTTTTACCTCCAGCGGCTGGTTGCACCAGGAGGAAGAAATGACCCACCTGTCTGAGGAAGCTGCCTCTGCTTCCACCTCTTTCTTCTTCTCGTTCTCCTCCTGCCAGGAAAAGATTCCACCAGCTTAAAACGGCAGAGTTTAGGATCTAAAGGTGATGAGGGTGTGCTGTGAGGCTGATCCGCCCACTGACCCGCAGCGACTCCTGGAAGGACGAGGCCTGGTACTGGGCGTACTTCAGGATGGTGGTGTGGGAGCGGCTGCTCTCGCAGCGCCACATCTTCCTGCTCCCGCTCGGGTCCCAGTTCTCGTCGGTGGGCTGAGCCAGCTGGGTCCGCACCTCCACCAGGTGCTCGGGGTTGGCCTCCACCAGCGTCTTTGTGGAGAACAGGCCCAGGTCTGCGTGTGGGTGAACGCAAAAGATTGAGAAAAGCTCGTTATTGGAAGCAGCGTCATTTCAGCACTCCGTCCCCAGTTTGTTGGTCTTTTATTTGTTAACACTGTAATGACAATCATGTGCTCAAGTTTCCATGGGGATGTTTTGTGTTAAGTTGTCACATAAAATCACAAGAAAATAAAACTAATGCTAAAGTGTGTGGCTGTAATGTGACAGAAAGTGAAAGAAGGGAACAAAAAAAATCTTTAAACAAGCAGGATTGAGAAGTGTGCACTAATATAATCCTCCAGCAGGTGGTGCTGCTGTTGCACATGTCAAAGCCACCCATAGAAAACGGCCCCAGTTAGCTGTGGCACAGGGTTTCCCACAGCGAAATTCAAGCTTTTTCAAGGCAAGTCTGCAAACTTTTACAGCACAATAAATAAATAAATAAATAAATAAATAAGAACTGAAAAAAAGTTGTGTTAATAATGCCTTGTGATATTATTCAACATAGCAGCCACAAAGTAATATGAAGTATTACAAAATGTTATATTTTGAAATCTTTCATGCGTACTCCTTACACACTTGACTGGCCTGAGAACAAAACACCAACTTAACAAAAGAAAATCCCATAAAAACGTATAAAAGATAACCTTTTGAACCGTTAGGAATAACATATTCATTACATTAAGGTACATGACTTTCCTGCTCAAATTAATGCCTAAATGTACAAAGTAACTTGCACAGAAAACATTTACAAAGTTCTCACTAAGCTTTCTGGTATTTGGAAAACAGAAGTAATTTTGGTGATTCTGACTAACCAACAACAAGAGACGTTTAGTCTCATTTCACTTCAGAAGAGAGAAAAAAAAATATTTGAAAAGACAAACTTGTATTATTATACCATTGTCAATATAGTACTTGAAAATTGTCTCAAAGCAACAATATTATTGCTTATTGCGATAAATTCTGGGACAATTTTTCATCCGGTCTAAGTATGCCATCATGACGGACCTGGTTTCAACTGTAAATAACGTTTTCCAAATTTAGGTTTTCAAACAAATGTTAGATTGCACTTTATTACAAAACTGTGCAGTGTAAATATCAAGCACTTTCAAGGAGTTTATACAGAAATCAAGCACTTTCCAAATCTTAAACACTGAACTGTGTTTGGCAACGCTAGTGAGTAACGGTTGAAACAGGAAGTGAGTGTCTTACCCAGCTTGAGGGCCCCAGCCAGGCCCCTGATGACGGTTACTGGGTTGGCAGGGTTGGTGCAGAACTGGTGGAGGGGGGGGAAGAAAGCGTCCCTCTTGTTCTCCAGCTGTAGAGGCAGAAAGCAGACAGCAGGGGGCGTCAGAGTGACCGTTACTCTCCACACTGAGACATGAGGAACCCTCCTCCAATAAGGTGGATGGACGCACGTAAATACTGGGCGTCGGCGGGTTGAGCTTGTCCTTTGGCAGTGGGGGTGAGGGTGGGCCGGGCGGGCGCGGCGGGGGGCAACGGTCCAGGAGGATGCTGCTGGTCGACAGGCCGTTCTTCCCCAGGTTCCTGCAGACAGTGGGGAGACGTCAGGGCTAAAAAAAACCCAAAAACACCAAAACTCACAAGAAACCAGGCAGCAGAGCGAGGCTGCAACACCAATCCAGCTGAAGAACGTGTGTGATAGTGATAAGTGGTGCTGTGAGGATGCAGCACCACTCTGCCACTAGGTGGGGGTGTAGGTCATGTTTCCTGTGGGTGTGATTCAGTGGAAGCTGGAGTCATAAATGAAAACACTGACATGGAATAAAAGAGGTAGAGGAGAAGATGAAGGTTGGAATGGACAGCATGTCTGACCGGGATGAGAGTCCAGCATGATGGATGGCTTACGCTTATATACACACACACACACACACACACACACACACACACACACACACACACTTCTACCCATCTTAGGACTTTACGCCGACTCCCATTCATTTTACCTGCATGTAAGCCAAACTAAGACATTTTCCTTAACCCTCACCATTACTACCATACATCTGATCCTGACCATTATCCATGTCCAACCCTTCACACAAGGGCTGAAATGATTAATCGGGTTAATCATAACTAATCGATTATTAAAATGATCAACTAATTTAGTAGTCGATTAAGTATTAGCTGGATTCAACAGACCAAAAAAATGTACATTTACAAAAAAAAAAATCTATATCTTATCCTAACTAAAACTTAATTCACGAGAGCTGAAACAACTAATTAAATTAATTGTAATTAATCAATATTTGAAATAGTTGTTAGCTAATTCAATAATTGTTCATTAACTGGAGATATTGTGCTGAAAAAAAGGAAGCTTGCTGAAAGAAAAAAAAAACATCACATTGTACAAAAAGTATGTGCATTTCAATTTCAACTAAAAAAAAAAAAAAAAAACAACCTTTGCCTGTAAATATGTTTTAGCCAAACAGTGACTTTGTTGTAGCAGTTCAGATTTACTAAAAGAATGCAGTTATTGAATTTTAGGAAATACAATGTTTATTTTCTTATTTGAAGAAAATTTGTTTATTTGTATCTTTCAAAGTATTTCTAATATTGTATAAAAAAAGGCTTAAATTAAAAATCTGTCAGAATTTTTCATATTATTCCTCCGAATAATCCATAGATTAATCGATTACTAGAATAATCGTTAGTTGCAGCCCAAACTCACACCTCAACTCTGAAGCTGAACCCTGACCCTAAAAAACACGGGAACCAAAGTGCAGTTCTAATACGGTGACCTCCAAGGCCCGCTGGTCTTCACAAGTTTAGTAAACATGCTAGAAATGGTGCCAAGAAGAATAGCTGAACAAGAACACACTCACACAGGAGTGCATAAAGAGGCGGGGGTGAAAGCCAGACGTTTAAATCGACTCCAAGAGCCACAAAAATAAATCCAACCTCAGTCCTCAGATCTCTGCTTTCACACCGGAGAGGATTCACGGTTCTGCTAACAAGACCTGAACACGGCGTCTACCGGGCCGCAGCTGAAGGCCGTTACGCAACAGCTCACTTCCCACCATCCCACCAGAGCGTGTTGATGCTTTTCCAGGGGAAACACGCAATGTAGAAACCTGCATCTGATCCCGCAGGACCAAACAACGTTCTGACCCAAACTTGAGTTCTAATGGAGAACGGCTGAGGAGGAAGACCAAAGAGCCTCAGAGAAAACCCCGGTGGTCAGACTGACCCGTTCTGAACATGCCACAACTAAACAATGCCTTCTGCTTCGTGTGTGAAACCATTTCAAAACAAATTGTAATTTTAGAACAAGAAAGAACAATAAATTTAGGTAGACTGTAATCAATTAAACATGAATCGATGTAAAATGCTGAAGACAGTTTATCATCTTTGAAGCCGCATCAAGGTGCTGCTTTATTCCTCATTTACAAAACTGCCTCTGCTGATGGGTAATTCAACCAGTAATCACTGTTGATCAATTATCTGATGGCAACTCATAATTATAAATCAGAGCCTGTGTAAAATATGGAAGCAGATTACTAAGGATAACTACCATCTCTGCACCAAAAACAGCAGCAGTCAGCCAGCTGTGTGCAATGGGTCAACTTCATTACTAGTGAGAAATGTTGAAGGATAAACCAGGGTTTCTGCTCTAATTTAAAAGACCATTTTAAGGCCGTTATGAAAGAAAGTTCAGACGTCGATCATGAAAGACATTTTTGTTCCTTACATTGAAGTAAAGCGTTGGAGAAATCGCGATGCACCAAATGCTGCTCTCAGATCAGTGCCAGCAGTGGTAACAGTTTTCTGGGGGGTTTTAGTCGCAGCAGGGGAGGAAAGCTGATGTTTCTGGGGTCTGCTTGAGGCTCTTGGCAGCGGCTCTGCAACATTAACTCCAACTGTGCCGAGTGTTGTCGCACAGAATGCACCCAACACCATACAGCTTGGTAACAGAAGTCAGTCAATGGCAAACACCAACGCTGTCCAGTCAACACGCAATATATTTGCACTTAACCCTTCATGGATGCAAAAAAAAAAAAAGCTAATTAGCAAGCAAGGGTATGTCAATAGCACAAAAAAGCTAACCAGCATAACGGCAGCATAAAAAGCTAGCTAGCAAGTTTATACTAGCAGCTAGTTCAGTGTTTCTCAACCCTGGTCCTCACTGCCCCCCTGCTCTGCATGTTTTAGATGTGCCTCTATTCCAGAGCAGCTGATTCAAATGAATGCATGACCATCAAGTATTGCAGAAGCCTGTAAATCACCCAGAGATACAATTCAAGTGTGTAGCAGAAGGGAAACACCTAAAACATGCAGGACAGGGGGGCGGTGAGGACCAGGGTTGAGAAACACTGAGCTAGTTAGCGGTAGCATCAACTGCCTAGAGCAGAACATCAGATGTCTGCATGCAACTCGAATCTTTGACAGAAAAGTCACTACATGTGACTCTACGAGTCAATAGTCCTGCTACAACAGACGTGAGTGACATATCTGAGGCCAACGTACATAATTGTCATTCAAGACATTTTAAAGTCTTAATTTTATATATGCAAAATGAATATCCTTTAAGGGTGTGTGGACACCCAGTAAAACTGCATGGAGTTTGTTTATTTGCCGTCACTGGACACCAGAGACACGACAGGAGACGCTTGTCAATCTGTAGAGCTGCAGAAAGGAATTATTTTTGATGTTTCAAGGTAAACTCAGACGTTTCCAGAGCAGAGAGGATGAAAGCAGCTCCTGACCTGCAGGCTTTCAGCACATCACTGGAGCTGGGGTAGATGGAGACCGACGACCATGGAGCCAGCCCAGCAGGCAGCGTCTTTCTCTGCGGGCTCCGGGAGTCCTCTGGGCTCTTCCCGTTGAGCGTGGGCCCCTGGCTGTTGGATGGGCTGTTGAGGCAGGAGGGGCCGCCGACGGTGTGGGGGTCCACCGAGCACGGCGAGGGTGTCGGGGCGACCGACAGCGGGGAGGAAGCCGCCGAGTGCTCCGGCTTGGCGTGGAGAGCTGGGAGGACGTGGTTTATTTTCTCTGAGGAAGACCCTCCGTGGTTACCATCGTCGTGGTTACTGGTAGCGTTGGCTTTTCCCTTTACAAAGGCTGAGAGTTGAGGATTGTCTGAAGTGAGCGTTGCACCAGCGGCCGGGGATGCGGGCTGCGGCGGGCTGGCGGAGCGCTCCTGCACCCGCGGCTGGACGTGATTAGTCAGTCCTTGCCGGGAGGCGGAGCCAGGGCTGCGGGGCGCTCCTCCATGATGCCCGCCGGCCGCCTCGGGACCTGGCATCGGAACGGCAGCGGGGACGGTGCTGCCGGTTTTGCCCCCGGAAGGTGCCGCCGTCGCATCTTTGGTGTGTACCCCTGAGGTAGTAGCGGAGTGGGGAGGCGAAGACAAGTGGTTGGGCGTGGTCTGGGGGGAGGTGGGGGACAGGGAGGAGGCTGAGGAGGAGGCAGTGCAGGGCCCGGAGCAGAGTCCAACCTGATTCAGAATGCCGGAGGAGGAGAAGGAGGTCTGAGACGGGGAGGAAGAGGAGGAGAAAGAGGGTTCTCCATCAGGACCTGCCGGATGGGAACCTGGACCTTTTAGAAGCCCCTGTTGGGAAAACAAACCAGAATCAGAACCCAGAAAACAGATCCATGTTTATGAGTGAGTAGATCTAGTAATATCTAGATCCATAAGGACAGATCTATTCAGTCCAACTCTATGCTTTATGCTCTGATCGACATAGTGCTTTATTATTTATTTTACATTATATTCAGAATTCCTGATTTTGTTACACATCTAACTAAAGTAGCCCAGCAGTTAAAGTTGTGTTGTTTTTACATGTTTAACCAAGCTTGTTAAGCTATTTGTGTATTTAAGTGTCTTTACTGGTGCAGAATTATCAAAGAAATTTGTACTTTAGAACATTTAGGTCTGTGTTTAGAAAAAATATTTTTCAAGGAGCAGTATTATGTATTTCAGGGATTTAGTGCCATTTTATAACACAATCAAGTAACTGTTAGCTTTATTTCTAAAAATGCTACATATGTCAAGTATGACTTTAATTTAGCATCTTGAAATTGGGCCTCTGTCTCTTTAAGAAGCTCCTGCTCTTTCTGAAACTCTGCCTTCAGGAAGTCATCACAACATGGCTCTTCTATTAACCCTTTAACAACATTTTCACCAGCGTTGAACTGAGAAGTATCTCGTATAATGAGATCAGCAGATGTGTAGCTCCACCAGGTGTTTGCTAATTACTGCTGGCTAGTCTGAAGGAGCTGAGTGACGAAGGGTTGCTCTGTGAGGCTGAAGCTTGGAAACTTCAGCGCCAAGGAGGTATGTTTTTGATGAGGGAATAAAGTCATAACATGATGCAAAGCTCAGAAGAAGTCATTTTTTTGTATAATCCAACTTCTTTAAGTCAATTCACTGCTGTTTTTCTGTATTGGACTGGAATCAGCCGATACATGGCCTCTGATATTGGTATCCAAAGTGAAAGAAATGGATCGGTGCAGGAAGCGGTGCGGTACCTGAGTGGTAGTGTTGCGTGGTTGGCTCCTCCAGGTCTCGTCTGCGTGACTGGGACTGGTGTTAGTGCTGCTGCTGGTGGTGCTGGGCTGACTGGTGGCGGTGCAGGTGTGAGGTAGAGAGTTCTGCTGCGGGTAAGGCACGTTTCCGTTGCTCGCGCCACCACCGCTGCCCAGCCCCGCCCTGGCGTTTTTAAGGTCCAGGTGTCCTGGCAGACCCGCCGAAGGACTTGAACAGGATCCGTTGGCTGTGGGCTGGGGGGTGAGGGGGGGTCGACCGGCTGCGTGATTGATAGGAGAGGAGTGGGAGAGTCCCGGGTTGTGAGGGGGGTCCGCTGATGGGCCGTTGGGGAGGCCGGACCGCGGCTGGCCGCCTGCTGCTGCTGCAGCCTGCTGCCTCATCTGAAGCACAGCAGAAGAAGAACACTCCAGCTCTGAAGCTAAACACACATTTAGCGGGTCTTTAATGGAAAAGTCAAACCCACCTGCTGCTGATGCTGCTGCATGAGGGAGAACTGGTTCTCCAGCTGCTCCAGCATGTGCTGCCGGGGGGGCGTGAGGCTGGCCCGGTTGCTCCGTAAATGATCCAACAGCTGCAAGTTACACAACACTGTTCAGTGAACTCAGCACAAGATCAGCAGTTTTAATTGGAGTCAAAAAAAAAAAAAAAAACCCGGGTTTGCTTGATTGGTTTTCATTTTGAGGAACGTTTTTATGATTTATTTAGACACGTTGCATGTTGTTGTTCACATCCGCAGATTTTGCATGTGCTCACAACGCTGGAGACGATTCCTTTACTTTCCATCCAGAGCCGCGCTGCCGCGGTACAACAATTCCATTAACTAAATGAAACCTGGAGACGGAGCCGTTATTAATTTAGTCCAGAGCGTCACAGCAAAGGGCAAATGACGCAGAAAAACTGTTGAACAAATCAAACCCACTTAATCTTTTTCATCGCTCTGTCGGTTATGCCACACACACACGCTGGAGGATGGGAAATTGCATGCATGGCGCGACGTTGCAACGTGTCTATAAGTTAGAATATATATGTGCATATATACATTATAATAAATTTTTGATAAATCAACGCTAAGTGTACAAATCTTTCATCTCTTAATAAAGTGTAAAGACTGCAGATTTTGCATGGGTAATGTCTGTCCTTTTTCCATCAAACACTTCAACATTTTTCATATTGCCAATTAAAATGCAGCTGAAGTGATTTCCGTGGGGTTTTTGTCCCCCTAATTTTTGGCGCTGAAGATGAGAATTTTTCGGAGCAGAGGAACAGCTCGGTCATGATCTTTTGCAACAGAACTAATAAACCCCAATTCACTTCAACAGGAAACACCAGACGCTCTTAAATGTTGAGAAGTTTGCCTACCTGGATCTTCTGTGGCGTCAGATACCAGCCGGGGACCTGCTGCTGATTGGATCCGTTTGCCAACGAGTCGGCGGCACCCTGAGGATGACACAAAAACAACCCTGTGTGAGCTCTCCTTCTCAAGCCCCGCCCCTTCAGCTGCGATGACCCCTCCCCTCCGGGCTCTGCAGTACCTTGACCTGGCTGGCGGTGCGTTTCTTTTTAGCAGGACTGGCCAGCGGGTCGGTGTGGCTGCTGGTGGACGGGCCTCCCTCCCCTTTACAAGCCTGTGGATCCAGCAGAGACACTGCTTCAGAGGACGGACAGCAGTCAGAGCAGAAACAACCCACAAGCTCAAACAGGCTTTAAACTTTTCTGCATGGACACTGAAAGACGACAGTGTTACAACATCTACATGCACATGGATTTTAAAACAATTCAATCCCACAAAACTCCCGGATCCTAATGGGTTGTGGCCAGAAAATAAAGCTGAGTTGTTCTGATTTACTGTTTGGTGTTTATAACCTCTCAGTCTCCTGGAAAGTCTTTCTGCCGTTAAGAGGTAATGTGGTTTTAATATTAATGACTTTTAATAACTTTGGCTAAAAATTGGTTGTCTCCAGGTTTCAGCAAGTCAAATTTAAGACTTTCAAGTCCGTTTTAAATGCCACCTTAGATGAAATTTCAGACAGAAACTCTAAATACAAGGGTGGTTGGGGAAACTCGCTGCATTATAACCAAGCAAAAACAGAACTTGGCTTAGTGCGCCCATGAAACTAGCAAGCTAGCTAGATTAGCAGCTACTTACCGGTAGCTTCAACTGCCTTGAGTTACACAATGCAGTAACATGTGCTAGTGCAGCTCCAACTTTTGACTGATAGAAAAGTCTCAAGAATTTTATTTATTCATTTATTTTATTTTACAAAATTTAAGGTCTGTGACTAACGTATTCAAGGGTGAATGAATTTAATATATTTTAAGGCCTTAATTTTAGCCACACAAATTTAAGACTTTTAAGGACTTTTTAAGGATGTGTGAACGCCCTGTTGAATTTCGACACAGAATGACAAGAAGAATACCAGTAATGGTTTTAAATCTAGTTTTCTTACATTTTTTGTTGCATAATTTTCTATTCTATAGTGGAAAAAAAATCTCTTCGCTAAATTTTGTTTAATTCATCAAAATGTAAATAAAATAGTAGTTCTTGAAAGATACATTTCTGAGAGTAGATATTTGTATATCATAAGGGATAGTGTATATTCATCAACGTAAGTGCATTAAAATCATGGACGTATACCAGCTTCAGCCACTAGGACTAATTTTCATCTGTAGCCCCCTGGCAGGTCGATGGTAAACAATTGGCATAAAATTTACAATAAAGTTGTAAGTTATATCTAAAATTGTAAATTGTCTTTTTTATTCTAAGCATCTTGTGACATTTGCGGCTGGAAACGAGTTTCATTTGGCTGGCCTAAGAGAAGAAATCCTCTTTCGGCTGTAGAGAAACAGAATTATAGAACCTTTTACATCTGTCACAAAAACAGACAAGCTGGGATGAATGATTGTCACTTTGCTGAAATAAATTCATGCATCCAAACCTTTACATGCAATGTCTTGCAAAAATAGTTTTATTACTCGCATTTTGTCGCAGAACATTAAAACTTTGATTTGGATTTTATGAGATAGACCAACAAAAGTAGCATAAATCTGAAATGGAAGGAGAATAATTATGGAAGAAGATGTTTTGGTCAGACAGACACCGCACCTTCTGACCCACATGAAAAAAAATGATAAAAACTGAGCAGGCATCACCCTGAACACGCCATCACAATGTAGGTTTTCCACAGTTCTTAAGGTTTATTTCTGCAATAGTTATATTGAATTTCCTCAAACTAGTAAAACATTTTTAGATTTTTTTTTTTTATTAGGTGGAAACATACGTGTATGCTTTTTGCTCTGTGTGGGGTCCCAGACAGATCACACCGACTCTGCGTGTGCTTTTATGAGAGCGTTTTTTTGCGCTGTTTCAGGAACTGACGATCTGGCGGGACACTCCCATTGTTTCCCCGTTATCTGACCATGACAACGGTCCCACAGTCTTAGGAATCACCTTAAGACTGGGTTGCAATGCTTGCAGACCCCTGTTTTAGATTAAGGTGGGCAGATGCGACAGCATGGCCTAGCTAAAGTACAGATAACTAGGTCACTTCACACGTATGGCTCTAAATGAGTTATCTGGCTAGATCGAGAGTAAAAATGTCTCTTTAGGTTGGAATGCTTGCAGACTGATGGTTTAGATTAGGGTGGGTTAATATGTTAGAATGGCCTAATTAAAGAACAGATCTACACCCAAATATTGAGATCCTTTCCAACCAACCTGACACAGTTTGAGATATTTTCCCAAGAACAATGATTGGCGATCTGAGCTTCTGTAAATCATGGACTCAGTGGGTCAATCCCATAAAATCCCAATAAAACAAATGGACATTTTAATGAGACAAAATGCTTTTTGCAAGGCACGCATGTCCAAGCATCTGAGTTTGCTGAATGAGTTGCAATGAGTGGACAAAAATTACAAGAAACGTGGGACAGGAATTGCTCTGCATGGAGAGTTAGCGACAATTCTAACAATCTGACATCTACTGCAAAAAAAAAAAAAAAACGGGGCCTCGCTCCGTCTCTTTCTGAATCTCACCTGCTGCGCCTGTGCTGTGTTCAAGGCCCCCTGCCTGGACGTGAGCTCGGCAGGAATGGGAAGGCTCCACGCCTCCTCAATACAAGGAAGCATTTTACTCTTATTCTGTAGACTACTTGGGTGAAGGTTACACAACTGAGCCTGGGAGGAGAAATTGTGTGAAAACAACAAACTTTAGAGCCTGAATTGGAAGTCGAAATACTCCAAAGAGGAGGGGGAAAAAAAAAAAAAAAATAGTCTTGCTCGCTAAAATAGCATCTCTACCTAGACATAAAAATAGGAGAAATGATTAATGTTGTGAATGTATGCTTTAAAAGTGAGAGAAAGACACATTAATATGAATCATTATTCATATCTATGTGTTCAAAGGCAAAAAAAAAAAAAGAAAAAAAAGCACAATATGCATTTTAAAAGCTGATTGCTTTGGCAATGCTGGGCAGTTATCACAGCACCTGAATGCACAGACACCAAAAAGTACTGTACGACATTAAACACAGCAGGCTGGAGGGGGCGGGGCATGGGGGAAATGAGGGCGGGGCTTCCACCTGCAGCAGTTTGATGCGTTGCGCGAGGGCGGCGGTGTTGAGGCACGCTTTGCTGCGCGTGGCGTTGATGTAGCACTTCATGGCGTCTTGCAGCTGGCCACAGGACTCGTACAGCGTGCCCAGGTCCATCCAGGCGGCGGCGTGGCTGTGGTCCAGCTGGACGGCACAGATGTAGGCCTGCAGGGCGTCCATGGGCTGGTTCTGCTGCTGGTACAGTACACTGCAAGCAGAGGGGACGGGGAGGGGACACGGTCCAGAACTTACTTTTTCTAACTACATCTCTTAATCGTCAAATGCCGTTACACTGTGTACTGGAGTTTGACTAGGCCGTTCAGGGTTCTGACCAGACCACCTGCATTCACATGCTTGCTGTGTTTTCTGTACATCTTGTGGAAAGCTGGAGTTTGCTTAGGGAGCTAAACACAAAGACAAGTTTGGTCCTCCCCATCTTCATTTCTCCATTGCTTTCCATTTCCACACATTCTGGTTCAAATTTAAAGGGTTTAATATTGTCACACAAAAGTTACTGTTCTGACTGGACGGAGCTAGCACTGTTGGACCTAGCATACGTCGTGCACTGCAGGGTAAACAACACGGCGATGTCCGTGTGACAATATTTTACTCGCATTTATAAAAATTAAACACCTTGCAGTATTTTTACTGTATAGTTCCAACATCTGAAATATCTCAAGCAAATAATATTATTGCAACTAATCATGGATCCCTTTAAAACATTTAATATTGTCCTTCCTCTTCATAATTCTGTGTATAAAACACAAAAGCTTTTGCAGGGGATTTTGTTTTTCACACAGCCAACTATAAAACCTTTATTATTCTTTCTGCTCTTTGTGGTTCCTGCTGCACCTGATTCCTCTCTCTAATGTGAGTCTTGCATCTTGTTCTACAGCCAGACTTGCTGACATGCTCTGCTCTTACCCTATGGAGCACCAGGTGTCAGCGCTGGCCTCAGACTTATCAATGGACTGGCGGTAGGAGATGAAGGCGTCCTGCACCTTCCCGATACTGGAGTAGCACCTGCCCGACAGAAAGCAAAGCCAACTCTAAATCATTGCATTTTAGGAAAACAACACACTTCATGACTCATGTCAGTCGGACAGAGATTGCCACAGCAAAAGACCATCAATCAATACCAGAGTAGTAAAGTGTTGTAATCTCCGAGGTTTAACGCTGAGCTGCATCTTAAGAACAGATTTGTTCCAAGACACAGGAATGACTGATGTTTCTGACACAATGTGTCCAGCCACCCAGGGACAAAAAGCTACTCGGCGACGACGACCTTCACTGGTTTCATCTGTCAAGTTGTCAAAGTAGCAATCACAAAATAAACACCAAGCCTGAAAACATAAAACTGTAACAGACTGGATGTTTGTGTTGGAAATCTATGAATATTTTTTTGGTGTTAAATCCTGATGCACCCATGGAAGCTGTTGTCAGTTGGTTGCTAAGGTGATGGAGCTGAGCGTAGGAGAATACGAATAGTTTAGAGTTGCTCTTCAATGGTTTTTCTGCATCGTTTTCCCTTTGCTGTGGCACACTGCACAACATCAATAACACTCCATCTCTAGGTTTCATTTGTGAACTGTTCTACCGCGGCAGCCCGGCTTTGGATGGCATGTAAAAGAATTGTGTTTATGCCCTCCAACATTGTCCGTATGTGTGAAATTTTCCGGATGTAAACAACCCGACTGTCGTGTGTATTCCCAACAGAAGCAGCTAACGTCAAAAAGCTTTAAGGCGTACCTGCCGAGAAGGTACCAGGACTGGCCGGAGTTGGGGTCTGCTTCTAAAGACTTCTGCAGACACTGGATGGCGTAGCAGCCCTTGGAGTCCTTCTCCCTCAGCTGCTCCACGGTGTGATGCATCCAGCCTAACGAGCAGCAGAGCAGATCAGCTGTTAGTCTTCAACAGCTCCTCTGAGCTGCAGTGGAACCTGGTACGGGCCGGAATGATGAGCCTCCATCCAGACAAAACGTGCACCGCTGTGGAGACGGCCGACTCCGCCCGGGCCCCCGTCCCCTTAAGGAGCTTAAGGACGGACAAAGCGAGGAAGGTGGCATTCTTCAAAAGGCTTCATTTGAAGCAGCCACAACACACACACACACACACACACACACACACACACACACACACACACACACACACAAAGCTGTAACAAGCCATTTACAACAAACAAGGTCGCTCTGGGAGACAGACCAAAGCAATCACAGCCCAACTCTTCTCCCCTCCACGTCCTCCTATACACCTGAAGCATGCTCCAATCGTCACCATGGAAACCCCCAGCAGGCAATGATTAGCAGTACTTAGTGAGTGTGGCAGTTGAAGCCTTGTTTTGATGCAGTAGCAGAGCAGGAGAAGCAGATTGGTTTGATTTGATGTGGTTTTATTGAGGAGCAGGACGATTTACTGGGGTAGCTGTAGATTTCAGCAAGTCAAATTTAAGACTCAAGACCTTTTTGATGCCACCTTTAATAATATTTAATGAAAAAAAAACTATAAATATAAGGGATGGTTGAGGGATCTGCTGTATTACAATAAAGCATAAATTGTGATATTTCTGGGCTCTGTTTGTGACTCTTGGCAGTAGCTATGTGCTCTCTACACCCTCAACTCCCACAATGCCTAGCCTTTCTTTTTTTGGCAACAGAAGTGAGCCAGTGGCAAAAACAAACCTTATCTAGCCAACTGATGCCAAATTTACTCTTAAATGTGGCAGTATTATGTATTTTACAGCCACATAGTTCCATTTTATAGCACAATCAAGTAGCTGTGCTGCCTTCAGTTGTCATAAAAATGCTGGCTACATCAAACATGAGGAAGTCACCACATCATCAGTCCTCTATTAAGTCTTTAACAACGTTTTTATAAACATTTCATTGAGAAGCAGCTCACAAAAATGATGGCGCTAGAGCTGTAGAGCCTAGCATACATCATCTACCCAGAATGCATTGCAGTGTAAAACAATATGGCAACAAAGCTGCAGTATGCAACCACAAAAACATTGACTTGTTAAAATTGTTACAATGTCATGACAGGATGAGACAGATAAACCATTCATCTCCTTCACTTCCTCCCTGAGCCAAGAGGAAGTGTCACAACCAATCAGAGCCAAGGGGAGGGTCTTGGTGCCTTCAATCACTCTGGTGTACTAATGGCAGTAACAACTTTCTGTTTATTCTTTACACTATTTATCTACCGTTATCGGTGGCCATGCTAACTAGCCTAGCACTGACAACAGGATATGTTGTGGGGATCCAGTTGCAGCAGAGCATAGAGCAGGGAGATTTCTACAACTATTAAAAAAATAAATATTTGTTATAATACACAAAAATCTTTCCTACAGTCTCAGTAACTTCTGTCCTCTAATACAACTGGACCAGTTTTACTAATAAAATTGTCCTCTAAAAAACACCATCTTCTCAAAGACCAAAACTTTATGCCTGAAGTACGCATGCGCACACACACACACACACACACACACACACACACACCTTTTATCGTTAAGGCAGGGGGATGGGAAACCAAAACAAACCAGGATAAGTTGCAGCACTTTTGCTACAACTTTGACCCATAGGAGGAAATAACAGACCAGGAGGAGCCACTTACCCAGCTGCTGCAGCGTGGTGGCCTTCACCTGAGCAGGAAGGTTTTCCATCTGCAGCAGACTCTCATACGCGTCTTTCGCCGCTCTGTGTTTCTTCTGTGGGACAGACAGATTGAGACGCAGAGGCAGTTAGAGGCAGACAGGAGACACGGCGTTTTATGGCCCTATCTGGACACAAAGACAGCAGTCGTCCTCACACTGCTAATGACCAGACAGGGCCACTAATTTAGAGGAAGGGGAGGAATAGTACAGGCCAGACGCCACAAGTCTGCCAGAGACAGACAGGACAAAAAAATGCATTAAAAAATGGTAATGGTTTTTCTAAAAAAAAAAATTATAATTTAGATTTAGAAAATATTTTTCAAACTGCCTTTTATTTCAGTCATCCTTCTGTGATTGATATGGATTTGGATTTTTAGGATCAGGCTACCAATTTTTTTTAATTGTTTAATTTCAAGAATATAGTACGGTGGCGTATTGGGGGCATTGAAAACGGGGGGGAAGCAGCTCATTTCTGCCAAATATAAATCAAATTTTGATATTGATCTGAAATATTCTAGAAAAATTTTTAGTCTTGAAAGTAAAAAGTTTTCAACTTTTTAAATTCAGTTAAAATTCTTGAAATTTTGATTAAAAAAAAACAGACTTGAAAATTTCAAGAATTGAACGTTTTATCCCAGCAAATTTACAAAACTGCCATCTGTCAGAGTGCAGATGAACCGATCTGAACCAAATAAACTTCAACAACTCCCACCAGCCTGTCTCTAATTCAAGTAAAGGTTTGAATTTACTGGACAAATATCTACAATATAGCTAAAGGAAAGGAAGCAGAATATACATGCAAGCAGTGAAGCCTAGAAAACAATTTATTATTAATAAGATCTTCAGAAATGTGCAGGTCAATTTGTAAGTGGGAGATATGATGGCTTATTGGGGCCACTGTAGGTAGAAAAAGAGTCCAAGAAACTCAAATTTTGAGGTTAAACTCAGACATTTTCCATAAGGAACGAGTAAATTCTCTAAGCTCAAAAAAATGTGATTTGCGAGGGGAGAAAAAATGGAAATTGTGAGGTTAATCCTGGACTTTTTCTTGAAACAGACATGGGAGTCTTCTGGGATCGAAAAGTCAAAAATATTCGACTTTACAAGCTGAGAAAACTTGCATGTTTTCTCTAGAGAATATGTGAAACTAATTTCAAAGTTTTGGATAATTTACAACTTGACTCAGACAGTTTTCTTATTTTCTCTAGAAAATATTTTAAATCCATCTTAAAATTTCTCATACTTTTAGTCTCACAAATTTGTGACTTTTGGAGCTCAGAAAAAGGAACAAAGAAAATTTGAGGTAAATCTCAGAAGTCAGAAATTTTCTATCTACAGTGGCTCTAATATGCCGTCACCAAGCAGGGAATCATTTCAAATGTGATCTGCTTACCTGGATTTCATACAAATGGGCGATGTGAAACTGAACTGGAAGAGAGAAAAAGAAGAAGAAATTAACCATGACGACAATCTGAGAGATTTCCCATCCACCCTGAGGACGTGCATTAAAACAGACTGCCAGCAGTATGGAGCGCAGATGGGCGGGGGGAGTTTAACACTCTCCAGTGTAATCATGTAATCTGAAATCACAGTCTGCATGCGTGATGTGTCAGGAAGTCTTTTCAGCTCCTTCCTCGTGCCGTCTCCTAGGCAACCTGCGTCTTAGTGCTAGTGCGGTCGGCAGGGAAACGGCGAGGTTGGAGTATAACTAGTTAAAGCTCCATCTTGCAGCGCCACACTGCTTCGGCTTCTAGCTACGACTTACTTTCAGCTTTGGACAAGGTGCAGAGATTAGAGTCGATCAATGCCAGCTGGAAATGCTGCAGAGACAAAAGAAGAAAAAGGTTTTTGGTTGTTTTTATGGAAACAGGATCTCATGTCTGTGTGATTTGTGTCATTAAAAAAAAAAAAAAATCTGTGGGCCGATATCTGAGGGAAATATGGGTGCTGCTCCAGTCTGATCCCCAACAAACCGTGAACAAACCCGGGTGACTGGAACATGAGAGGACGGTGGACGCTGCAGGGCTGAACCAGACAGGTTTTATCTGATGGAGCCCGAACTCTGAACCCCGCCACCACAGGAAACACAGAGATCGTTTCTTACACCGCCTTTGAACGCATCACCAGAACTGCCATTTCTGCAGGAAAACACCACCCTAAAATTTACTTTATTTGAGCTTTGTGGTGTTATTCCCTCAACAAAAACGTACCCCTGGAGTGTTGATTCCTCAGACTTTCATGCATGTCTGAGAAATCCTTGAATTGCCTGTGTCAACCGTTCAGGGCTGCCTAAACGTTTGCTCTCAACGCTCCACCTTGGAGTTGAAGTCTCCTCACAAAGCCTTCCCCTTCCATTCAGTTCCTTCAAACTAGTCAACAACAATTAGCAAACACCTGGTGAAACTGAGCATCAGCTAAGTTCTTCAACATCTGAAATACTTCTCAGTGCAACACTCCTAAGAATGTTGTTGTGATGACTTCCTGAAGGCGTAGTGTCAGAAAAAGCAGACGCTTCTTAAAGAGACTGGGGCCCAATTTTAAAGTGTTAAACTGCAAAGTCAACATTTTGTTTTTAGTCATGTTTGACATACAGTATGTTTTTATAACAGTTCAAGATAACGGACTGTTTCGTAAACAGAGCGCTGCTGTGTGACCTCAACACACTTCTGCACATGTGGGTCAGTTTGGGGTCAGAAATCATTCACACAGAAGTTTCTGCAGTCGGGTTTAATTTGTAGCATGAAGGACCACGCAAACAAAATTGAATTTTATCAACAAAAAAAAAATCCGAATTTGGCATCAAGACCTGCTGAGTGAACATAGCCATAGCTACCTGATGGTGCCATAAAATGGGACTATGTGCCTGGAAAATACCCCTTCAATGTGCCCTCCATGTCTGAGGCAGTCAGCTTGGCTGCCACATCACAGAAAGACACATACTGGTTGTCATCCATTTAATCTCCAGTGGCAACACTCAACAGCATGGCCTGAACAGGCAACATGAAAAGACCTTCAAGTCATCCAAACATTGATGTGCAGCTGCACTAACAGAGGGCCAGTTCCATCATCAGACAAAGAACAGATGTTTCTACGTTATTTTAGGAGTGAAAGAAGCAAACCTCAAGAAAATGGTTAGACCTGACCAAATCCAGCAGGCTGAACTGTCTCATACGTAAACAGATTATAACTGGTACCAGATCGGGTCAGCAGCAACTCCAGTGTGGAAATTGTAGGACTAAAAATGAAGGAAAGGTAGCCATCGTTATTATCTACCAAAGAGGAGGACATGCAGTCAGAGGGACCACAAAACCTTCTGCAGACACCAGCTATGAAGAGCCAAGTTCAGGAAAAGCCACACATCTATCCATACTTTAGGATGTTTGACCCGAAGTGAGTCCAACAGATAACAGGAAGGCTAAAGGTCATCTCGCAGAGTTGATCTGATTGAATCCTTTCAGTTTTCAACCTGACTATCCCGGAAGATTTAGGGTTCATTCACACCAGATCTGTCTACTCCGCTTTCATCAAACTCTGGTTTGTTTGGCTAGAAAGTCCAGTTTGTTTTGGAAGATGTAAATGTGCAAACAAACTGATGTGGAACAAAAAAAAAACTCTGGTCTACCTAAAAAACCTAGGTTTGGTTGAAGTGAACTCTGGCAGCATATGTCAACGCCAACACCAGAAGCAATAAGCGGACTATAGCGCAGGATGTTCTGGGTAAGTACAACCAAAACAAACACAAGAAACTTGTGCTAGTGGGGGGAAACAAAAGAGAAATCCTGTATCCACTAAAATCGGACTACTCCATTTTTGTTTACATCTTGTGAAGGAGGACGTTGTACTCAGTGCCCTTCGGTTATCGTGTCATTTCCTTAAGTGGTTCTTGGTGCAGCACCAACACAGGCCAGGAGGATCTCGTACAGCTCCACTCTGTTAATTTGTGGATGTACGCAATGAAGAAACACGTCGAGGAGGCGCTACTAGACGCGACCTGGGAGAGCAAGCCAGTGGTCTGATAACTTTGTAAACAATGTAGTCGATGATGAGGAAAAACTTTCGCTTGTCCAAGCCTAGCACCAACTATTGGCATGGCAGGGGCATTACACCTTTTCGATTTATGCCATTTCTGTGTAAACAAAGATTGTAATTAGAACGTCTTCATGTAAACGTGTTAATAGAAACGAAACAAAAATTCAATTTTCGTTGGATCATTGTCGTGTAAACGGGGCCTAAACTGATGGAATACCGTCTTTTCCTCTTGTCACTCACAATTTAAACAATCTCCAGACTGAAAGGGAAATTTGGTTTCTGAATCGAAAACCCTTTGAATCGAATCACTAGACTGGAAGATTTGTGTCTACTGCATATATAAGACGCATATAACAGTTTAAAATATCCACCGCATGTTCATTTAATCCGTCTTCAATAGATTGCTAAAAGCCTGTTTTACATCAACTGCTCTCTCACACATTGTGACATCGCCTCTGTTGCTAAGGGCAGGTTACCTAGAAATAAAAAAAAATCCTTTTAAAAGCTGGTCTTATGTCTTCTTCTGTCAGGGAGACATTAGACTGGGTTCAAATCAACCAAAAATTGGAATTCCGTCTCTACATCCGTAGGTGGCTTCAAGGTGACAGGCGGCAGCGTGACCCTGTGCGGGTTCACGCATTCGGAAAGGAGCCGACAGTATCTGGGTCACGTTCTGAGGACTAGAACCCGCTGCAACCACAAACAGCCAGAAGGTACTCCTCTGGCAAATCCGTGAGGATTTCTGACGAGGCGCGCGCTGTTATCCGTCATCCAGGCCGAGGCTAAACATAGCTCCTACCCCAGGCTCTGCTACACTCACAGTAAACGTCAGGCAGATAAAACCTATCCAAATTACTGCATGAACAAATGAAGGGAACCAGCTCACAATGAAGTGGCGTTTTAAAAGTCAAGCATTAGCAGTTAAAAAAAAAACATCACCAAATCCCATATGCCTTGATTTCAGAGACTAAAAGGCGTTACCTAGACGGCGGGTCTTCCTCAGACTTCTCTATCCTTCACACTCGCTCTACACCCGGCCAGATAATGCCGCAGGATTGTCAGCTTGGCATTCCACCTCCCTCCTCACATCTTGCTTTCCTCATTCTCTCCCCCGTCTCTCTGCTGTCTTTCTTTTTATCTATCTCCCCTCCCTCCCTCCCTCCTTCCCTCCCTTCCTCCTCCTCCTCTCTCCTGGTGTCACTGATTACCATTCAGCAGACGGCTGCAGAGGAGAGAGCACGGAGATGACACACAATACCTCAAAGCACGCACGCACACACGCATGCACGCACCAGCTTCCCCTCCTTCCTCATATCTGTTCTCTGCAGCTGCGGGAGGCAACAGCACACAAACACGTTTTCCCTGAGCTGACGTAACAAGCGCAGGTGGGATCGATGAGGACAGGTGCGACGTATGTAACGTTTGGTTCCTAATGGGAATGCAACAGGTTCAGTATCTGATCAGGATCGTTCACGTCTTCCCTTCTTTCTCTACCTTTATTGTGTCCCCGTTCCTCTGAAGAGGCGCCTACTCCTCCCTGTAGGTAACTGGGGCAGGCATGTGTGAGATTCTGTTGGTGGGAGTGTGTGGCTGTGATAGTCTGTGAGCGGCTAGCAGTGACTCAGGACCGAGGGGGAGGGCAGCATCCAAAATTAAGGACAAACAGCATGAGCAGCCTGCTCAATGCAACACTAGCTGCAGCCAGAGAGGGCCTGATCTGGTCTCAATGTCGCTCACAGGGATTTCTCATCAGAGTAGGCAGAAATCACATGAGGTGTACCCCAAGGTTCAATCCTCGGACTCCTCTTATTTAATGACTACATGCTGCCACTAAGATGAATTAGAAGAGATGAACGGATCCGATATCAACTTCTGTATTGGTGCGTACAGATAATAAGCCCGAGCTGTAAGGGCAGATCTATTCTGTCAAATTCTATCCTTTTTACTCCGAGCGACGTAATGCATTTTTTATTTTACATTTTATTTAGAATTCCTAATTACACTCTCAGTCATTTGAAAGAAGGTTTGTTACAGTTTAGTTTTTACATGTTTGACCAAGGTAGTCAAACTACTGCTTTTGTCAGTTTCACTTTCTTCATTATTTTAAATCGGCCGTTATACTCCTATTTGTGCAGACTAAACAAACTGACATTGTGTTGTTTTTACATGTTTGACCAAGACTGTGAAGCTACTGGTGCATTTCAGTGTGCTGTACTGGTGCAGAGTTATCAAATATATTCGCAATTCAGTACATTTATGTCTATGTTTGAGTCAATTCGGCACTTTTTCTGTATCGGATCGGTATTAACCGATACTAGACCTCAGATATCGGTATGTTTATCATTAGTGAAAAAGTGTACTGCTGCGTCCCCATTAGTAAATCAAGCAGATGATACACAGCTCTACATTACAAGTGACTCCAATTAATGGGTAATTGTGTTCACTGGCTGCTCATCAAGAAGGCACATTTTTAGGGTAATGTACCTCTAGTCTGGTCTCGTGGGAACAATTTATTCGTTAGGGACCACAGTTGCTCGCTAATAGCTGAAATCTTAGATCAAATAAACCAAGTATACCATAACATGTATTAATACGCATTAACAGCTCTACTGCAGAAACTAATATTTACAGTTTTCCTTATTTCTTCTCCTGTGGCTACAGCCAATCAGTGGCAGGGAAAATCAACAGCCCTCCTGTATTGGCTGCGTTGTAAACTCCAGTCAGTAGCGTGTCTAGTTTTGCACTGAAGCATTGGCGTTTCCCAATCTTTAGAATATTTTAGATATGGTCTGAGAAATAATATGCATGCAGCAAATTTTTCCGTGAATAATGCGAGTTGCGTCCCACAGAAGAATCAGAGAATAGAGAATAAATCTGGCAATACTGAACTGGGAATAGACGAGGGTCAACTGTGTAAGAAATTAAAAACTACTCTGGTTATTCTCTTAAAAAAATAAAAATAAACTCTGCTTTGGACACACCAAGCAATGAAGAGTTTTAGGGGTTCTCCAACAGTTAAATCTGAGAACAGACAAGATTATAAGTCATTTTTCCACGTGCAAGACAAGTCTTAAGGGTTTCTGTAACCTTGTTGATGTAAAAGGTCAGATTATATTCAGGAATATTGTTTTCGCACAATCTTGTGTGATTTGGAGTTGGTTGTCCAGGAACAAACAATCTATGACAGAACGTCTGGACCATAACAAGGCCAGGGATCAGATCACAATCTGAAAGTTTCAGGCTACAGCAGGGCCAGAACCATCTGGACAGATCTGGTTCACAGGTGTAAATTTTATTCTTCCTAATAACAGCTTTTGTCAGAAGAACTGGAGACATGGAGTCTATTTCAGGCTTCCAGCACAGACCAATGAAAAGTGACTCAACACCAACTGTACTGGCCTTTCATATCCAACACAGACATCTTGTTGATGTAATCCATCACCAGTCAGCCATACTGGACTAGATTTAAGAGACTGCTTGAATTAAATTGTAAAAGACAAAACATTTTAACCAGTAAATGTTTTTCCTGTATATCACCTGAACAGCCCAGAACTCATCACTCAGCCTGTTGTTCTGATTTACCTTTAAGCTGGACTCGTAGTCTGTGTTGACTTTGAACATGAGCCCCAGTCTCAGATGAATTTCTTTCGCTCGGGAAAACGTTGGGTCGATGTAAAGCACCTCTTGGAACGCCTTAATTGCCCTGGAGAGAAAAAAATAAATGAAAAAAATCAAAAGCTGAAAACAAACTCAAGTCTGACTCGGATAACTGTCCTGCCAGAGTATTTAATA